ACAATGTGAAAGTTGGAATCTGTGTGTGACGTTCTATTGTGATTCTGTCTTGTGACAATTTCAGTTGACCGTGAAAATGTTGTTGGTGTTGTCACCTGATGAGGAAGGAAATACAGCAGGGACACCTGTCCAAGACAACCACCTGTTGTCGAGAGGGGAGGGGGTGGGGGGGGGGGTCATCATAGACGGTCAGTCCTTTTCGACAGTGCTGCTATGATATAGGAAAGAAAAAAATGCAAGAGAGGAAGGTGGGACGTTATTGTCTGTATATTTTTATGTGATTGTTTTGGACGGGGAGCGGGTAGAGTTGAACAGGCTCGACTGTATTGTCATAAACAGACCAAATTAGGCCAGTGTGGCTAGGATGTGCGTGGAGGAATGTTTCCAAGAGGACGGACTGACATTGACCTTTGAAGTATTCTCAGTGATTGTTGGTTCTTGCGTCGGAGCTAGTTCTCAAAACCTCTCATTCGAAGTCGGGGATCTGGACTGAAAGAAATGGCTTTTTGTGTCTCCGTGTCTCCCATACAAGTTTTTGACCCTATGGTTATTTTTAGACACGTCTAAGCCAGCGACGACAAAGGAGTTGGCCTTGATAGGCAGGGTCGCATCAGCCGGCCATCTAAATAATTGCGTTAATGAAATGGGGGTTTGAGGCTTGTACTTGTTTTCCCCTTGATGAGCGTGGGAAGAAAGAATCTTGAGTTGTTGGACAGTTGGTGGCTTTTTCTGTTTTGTTTTGAGCTTCCAGTGATCCGAAGAATGTGGACCTTGTAAGATGACCGTTTTGTGTATTCATCTGTGATTGTACTTTGGTGTGAGTGTGTGCGTGGGTGTGTGAGAGAGAGAGAGAGAGGGTAACGTAGAAAGAGTGCTTTTGTCGGGGCCTGTGTCTGTCTGTCTGTCTGTCCATCACGGATGTTGGGACGTGTTTACGTCCGGCGTTCACTGCTGAGTGGTCCTCTGGGAGTTGTGTTGTTTCTGGAAGGTTGCACGTTCTTGTCATTGACAAAAGAGATATAATTTATACTCAGACTTTCCGCAGTTTTTGTACATTCACTGTTTATTTATGTACGTATCTCTACTTTTAGTCACTTGTAGGGGAGAAGACATATGCCAGACTTGAAGCAGCTTTTTCCTGTTTTCTCACAGCAAGAAATGCGTTATGATAGTATGATAGTATAATAGAATGATAGTATAATAGAATGATAGTATAATAGAATGATAGTATGATAGTATAATACAATGATAGTATAATAGAATGGTAGTATAATAGAATGGTTGTATGATAGAATGGTAGTATGATAGTATAATAGAATGATAGTATAATAGAATGGTAGTATAATAGAATGGTAGTATGATAGAATGGTAGTATGATAGTATAATAGAATGATAGTATAATAGAATGATAGTATAATAGAATGATAGTATGATAGTATAATAGAATGATAGTATAATAGAATGGTAGTATGATAGAATGGTAGTATGATAGTGATGTGTGGGGTTCTTCTCAATGTATTTCTCTATTTCTTTGTAATGCTCTTTAAATCTAGAGTCGCAGCCCTTACATCTAACCCAAACTCGGAAGTATATGACTATATCACGTTTTGTTCTTTTTATATTTCGTCCAAAACGACTCGAAGGTGACCTAGACCGTTTATTTTTGTGACCCCTTCAATTGCCCAGTGCCTGTTGGTACATTAGCTGCACGCTTTCTGTAACTGCACATGAGGATTCAGGAATTTTGGTAAAAATCATTCTTTTTCTGCTCTATATTCATTTTTTTTTCTCCCGTTCTATATTCTTTTTTTTCTTCTCGTCTGCACGGACGTTTTGTGAGGCATGAACATACTTTAGAGACTTGCTGCTTATTTATTCAAATGTATTTTGTGTCTCTCTATTTTATCTGTTTCACGATATATATATATATATATATATTTGTATTCAATTCTGTGAATTTGTTTGTCTTGTCAGGGGGTTTTTTCTTACTTCTTCGTCAGCTCGTCTTCCTCCTATGAGCTTCACTTCTGTCTTTTTTCTTACTTCTTCGTCAGCTCGTCTTCCTCCTATGAGCTTCACTTCTGTCTTTTTTCTTACTTCTTCATCAGCTCGTCTTCCTCCTATGAGCTTCACTTCTGTCTTTTTTCTTAC